CACCATCATCAATCAATCAATCATCATCATTGTTTTAACTTGAACAGCTTCTTGGGCTTGTAAACTTTTGGAAGGCATGGCTAGAACCAATGGACCACAATTTGTGGTGAGGAAGGGAGGGAGAGAAACTACAAAGTCCAATGTAATTAAATTGTTACACTGACTTAATTACATTAAAAAGCCAATTTTAGCCAAGTGGTCAAATTCAAATGAATGAGATGGGTGATAGTCAATTGGCCTTGTTACATTTCTAAAATCTATAGTAATTGGGAAGAAAATACTAAAAATTAGTAGTTTGGGTTTGTCACGTAGCCTTTAGTGTTCATAAAAGGTACATACTAAACAGTTAAAAGGCCAATGGCTGACTAACCAAGCATTCTTTGATGGGCATCAATTGAACAAGGAGGCCTCTGAAAAGTAAAATGACCTAGCAACCTGTCCACAAATTACATTTCAGACAATTAATCAAATTTTTATGAGTAATGCATCAAGCTGAGTACCATTGTGCATTGTCACCCCTGAAGTAACATAGGAGATTCCCCCACTTCTTCAACCTACCACTCCCATTTTTTCAAAGGGGCTTATGCAAGAAAACTTTGTGGATGATTCCATCCATTTATTACGACATTCCCACAATGGGTATCTAAGACGGATGGTTACTCCTAATCCACTTTAGCCTATGCATCAATGTAAGGGCAACAGCAGGGCCATTGGTCCATTCAACATACAGGGTAAACGTGCAGGATCTTGCACCATGCAATACCTTCTGTTTTCAGATTCTGCTTCCCACACTTCCAGTTTTATGCTGAATAATCAAACCAGTCTTGCAGGAAGTTTTTTAATGCTCCCATAGCGTTACAATACTGCTTTATAGGGTAAGCAGGGCTTAAAGGATTTTATTTTTATTCATTCGTTGCCATTTGAAGTCAGTCATAGCAGTTGGCATATCCGTCCTCCAGTTTAACTATACATCTATTCTGTAAAGTAGATTATTTGGTGAAGGACAGCATGGCCTAAAAGCCATCCACTAAGCTTCATGATTGAGTGGCCTTTAACTCTAAGGAACAGTCACGGAAGTGTTAATTCTGCCTTTTCCTTTTCCTTTTCTCTTTCCTTTTCTTCTTTCCTCCTCCTCCTCCTCCTCCTCCTTTTGCCTGTGTTCTTGTACCCAAAATCTGGAACCAAGGTACCCCTGCAGGTCCTTTTCAAACACTGGATAGAAGTAGGGTCTTGTTTTTAAATGGGAATTTTTTTTAAAGGTTATATTTTTTTATAACACCATGTGCCTTCCTGTGAGTCAAATTCCGAATTCCATAATTAATTAATTTTTATTTATGGATGTAGAAACTGCTTCAGTCAGGGCAATTCTAAGCATTATACAAAAGCCACCCCTGCAGCCAACATAATAATAACAGCAATATGCAATAATTGGATATAATAAAATAAATATATATAATTACAGTTTAAACATTACAATTCATCTAATCCCTGAAGCTGGACAGCCTTCAAGTCCCAAAGATCTTCTGGAACAATAAAGTTTAGGCAAGCTTCTGGAAGGTCAAGCATGTGGAAGTTCTCTTGCTTCAGGAAATAAAGTATTGCAGAGGAGGAGAGCCCCCACAGACAATGCCCACTTTCGGGGGCCCTCCCATCACACCTCTCCATAGCTTCAGCAGGCCTTCTTGTGCCCTGGATTGGGTGGAGAGGATCCGTACGGGGCAGGTCATCTCAGAGGTACCCAGGCCCTGAGCCATATGATTAACTTGGCAACATCACCCATTTAGATAAGACCCAGCCCTGAGAAGGCTCACAGTGGCATTAAGGTGTCTTTATTGTAAATAGCTGTGAGATTCCAGTAGGTCATGTTCCAAAATTTAAAATAAAACAAAGTTAAAATGTGGTTGGTTTGCCTTTGTCTTCAGGTTTTTTTTAATTGTTTATGGGTTTTTTTATTTTTCTTGTGAGCCGCCCAGAGTCACCCGCTGGGGGAGATGGGTGGTATACAAATTTAATAATAAATAAATAAACAGACCCAGCCACTGCACCTTGAAAAACATGATTCATGATTTAGGGTAATACGTGAACCCAAACAGTTGTAGCTTACTCAACAAACCATTATTAAACCATAGCTTAGCATGATGTGTGTACCCAGTTTCTTCTTTTAATCACGTTCCAGGAAAGTTTCTGTGCTTTGTTGGGGGCAGTTAAAATGACACTTTATCCAGACTCAAGGTGCTTCTCACCGTGTCAGTGGATTTAGGACGTTGATCTCATGTGAGCTAATTTGATGATTAGTCAAAGATCAGGAAAGGAATTTAGGTAGCAGAACATGAGGAAACAGGGTGGGGAATGCACTTTAGAATTACAGGTTATAATGATTCTAGCCTGAAGAAAACAGAAGTCATAACCATCCTTTAAAGAAACATCTTCTTCAGGGCTTTTGATGTAACTTCTCCAGGTTTAACCAAGGTAACCCTGATGAAATTCTTTTAAGAAAGCAATTGGGTTCATCTGCATCAGCAGCAAGAAGCAACAGTCATCATTCCAAGTCATGCTGAGGTCACAAATTGGAACGTGCAGCAGGTTTCTGGGCAGAGTCCAAGACTTTCTAGCGTGGCCAAATGCCATGTAGTTTTGCATATAAAGGGGAGGTTTTTAGAAATGCAGAAGGGATCAGCAGTAGAGGAGAGGAGATGGGGTAATTCCCAGGACTGGAACAAGCATGGAGGAAGAATATAGTTATTTTCAGACTTAGAAGGCTTTGACGGAATTGACACAAACATAGAAGGAAATATTTCCGAGGAAACAATGCATTCGGCATTGGGCTGCTTTTGAAGAGTATTTGGAGCCAACAGCAAGTTCAGAATGCTGCAACTCTATTGGTTATCCCAAGATGCATATAGAATACCTTTAAGAGCGACATTAAAGAGGTGCTGCTTTAATGATGCAATTTATTAAAGCAGAGCTATCTTTTTTACACTCATGCAATAGGTTGAGAAAGTAATGTGTGCAGTTAAGTAACAGCAGAGAATGTTTGAAGTCCAGAGCTAGCAGACCCCTTTTATATGCATATATATATATATGTATGAAATGGATAATCTCAATAACTCCACTTCCCAAACAACTAGATAAGTGTCAGCTTTCCAACCATGGCATGTTGAGCAAGAGGCACCAAAGGTCCTCCTGTCCAGTGCACGGTACCCTGGGCACCTCTCTGGTTAGAGAATGAGCCCTGTCCTCCATTTCTTTACATTGCATCATGAGTGGTACTCAGTTAGGAACTCTGTGGGCCTCATTGTGGCTACATCCCAGCACCCCAAATCAATGCCTCATTCAGCAACATTTGGAAGGCCATTGGTGCTATCCTTCTATTTTAGATAGTACAGGTAGTCCTTGTTTAGCGACCACAATTGGGACCGGCAACTCAGTCATTAAGTCACTAAGTGAAGCAGTCACTAAATGAAACCGTGACTGTGTTTAAGATCTTAATTCAGGTTTCCTTTGCTTTACAGACCTGCGAAGGTCGTAAATGCAAGGATTGGTCACAAAGTTATTTTTTCATCACCATCATAACTGTGAATGGTCACTAAATGAGGCAGTCTCTAAATGATGACTACCTGTATATCAGCAGATTCTAATGGCACTCTCATTTCATTGCATCACCTTTCCATGATATCCTACACCTAGCAGTACATTTCTCCCCGTGTCTGTGTATCATGTTATAGCAAGATCATGCAGAATAAGGATATCGCCGGTTACTCATCATAATGGATAGATATTATCAGCCTCTGTGAGGCTTCAAAGGAAGGATCTGATTTGAAGGAAATTCAGTTGACTCACCCCTTGGAATGGAAGCTACAGATGGCCACAACCCTACGGGCTTTCAGAAAGGCAGCCAAAACCTGGCTCTTCTCCCAGGCCTTTGGGTCAGGATAAGCAGAATTTCCAACTGGAGAAGCTATACTGTAGTATGTTTTGATTGGTTTTTGATGGTGTGTGTTGTTGTTGTTTTTTGAGTTTGCCACTTGATGCTTTTTGTACATCTCCCAGAGTCTGTCTGAGTTGGACAGTCATCCATATCAATGCTTTAAACAAATAAATAAATAGCAGAGGCAATCTGAGGGATCACACCAAATCAGGTGCCTTTGAATGTTTCCTGAGAAATGTCAAGAAGTGTTCAGTGTAAGGAAGGGCTTTAAGCCAAACATTCCCCACTTTATTTGACCAGAAAAAGGAACTTGGGATCAGGATGAACAGCTCAATGGAAACATCAGCCCAGATAAATTCCATACACGGAAGGGAATTGAAAATACAACTGCCAATATAATAATGCCTTTATACAGATCTATGAAGAAACCACACTTGGCATGTTGTGTACAGTTCTGACTATGACTTTGTCTTCAAAAGGGTATCCTAGAGCTAGAAAATTGTTGTGTACAAAATCAATTAATGTCAATGCATGGGCAGTTTGAAAGACAATGCTGGAGGAGTGTCAGTGCAGCTGGATATCCACTTGGGAAAAAATACTTGAGTAGAATGATATTTTGAAATCATTGCAGAGATCTGGGAATCAGGACTCTCCCATCAATCAACATTCAAGCATTATACACTAGAAAGAAATAGATGGCACAGCACCATGAGACCTAGCCACTCAGAAACTCTCCAGATATGTTGGACTTCAGCTCCTTCTAACATCTCTGGAGGCACAAAGTTTGGGAAAGCTGGCACAGAAGTTTCTGCAGGCAGTTTCTTCATCCATACTGTGCTTTCCTCTACAAACAGCAACCCAGTAGCTTTATTCTACTCTTTCCTACAGCTAAAGAACCATTCATACCCCAATATATTGTAAGAGATCATTGGAGATCTATGACTTTCTTTTCCTTGGGAATGATATGACAGTATCAGTGGTGGTTCTTTGTTTTATATTAGCCTTCCTTCTCCAACTTGATGATCTCAAGATGGATTTAACTACAACTCCCATCATCCACTGTGGCTGACTGGGAGTTCTAGGAGATTCTGTCCCACACATCCTGAGGGCACTAGGTGATAGAAACTTGATTTAGATCAACAACATATTTGAAGTTTGTGCTTTTTCTCTGCATTATTCCTTAACATGGCTGAGGGAGCTGTTTACTGTAGTGTCCACACCAACCTTCTCCAACCTGGTTCCTTCCTCCATAAGGAAGATAGTAGCCTATCAGAGGCAAATGTCTGGTCCTACAGTGTCTGGACTGGATTTTGTTTCTGTGACCCAAAGATTAACAAAATATTGTGTCTTAAGATGGAGGGAAAGACCTTGGAAGCACATTTTTTTCTCAGTGCCTCTGTCATCTGCTACTAAAAGCCAGGAGAGATGAGAGAGGAGTTGTCCACATATGGAAGCATGTCCTGTGAAGGACTAATATCTAGCTACTCTACTTGAGCACCCTTTTTAGGTCAGATTAATTTCTTATTAGGTGTTTCACCAGCCACCTAGGGTGATCTCAAAAAACTAAGCAGGGTGAGAATTTAGATGAGAGTGTACCAAGAAAATCCTTGGGTGGTGGACTCAATTGGGAAGGCAAAAACCCTTCCAAGTAGCAAACCACTTTCATACTGCTGCCAAGAAAACAATATGGACATTGAAATCAAAAGGAGTTGAGCTTGAGTTGAAAAGGGCTTTACTTATTTCTTATGAGATCTTTTGTGTGACCAGAGAAGTAGAAGGAATGACTTTGTTCCCATTCTTGCTTGTTTTATTGCAGTTTAAATGTAGTGTAAGTGACTTCAGGAACTTTAGTTAGAAGGTGGGTCAGTGGCCCACATAAAGGAATGGAGCAAATGGAGAGAGCCAGAAGCAAGAAATCAAGACATGAAAAACCAGGAAAAGGCCATACTGATACTTATTCCTTTTTTGTATGTGTTTTATCCAGTTGTTTTCTCAGTGCTATTCTTTGCTGCCTTGGGAAGTTGTGATGATGATACAAGCCCCCTAGAAAAGTGCTTCCGGGACGCTGATTATGAAGAATATCTGGAGATAGCCAGGAATGGTCTGAAAAAGACATCACGCTCGAAACACATTGTGGTTGTCGGTGCGGGGATGGCTGGGCTTAGTGCAGCCTACACTCTTTCACAGGCTGGACACCAGGTAAGCTACTGACCTTTGTCTATCGCCACTTGACTTGGAGAAAATAACAGCACAATCCGGGGGAGTGAAAAAGTCAAGATGGCATCTATGATCGTGCAGTTGAAGCCACCTCCTTTTTATGTCCATCGTGATGCACAGTCATGGATGTCATCTTGACATTTTTGGCCCCCAGTACCACCAATGGACACCTCAGTGGAGAGGATATGTAGATAACATTTTATGGGGTCAGCAAACGTGGCATCTGCTCCCTCCATTCTATTCTTGGCAGCTAGTAGAATTCTCTAACCCTCACTCTTACCTGCTCTAACAGATCCTTCCTTGGTATACAATTTCCTAGGAATTTGACAGCATTCACACATAAGAGAAAATATATCCTGGGCCTTGGCAGAGATTCTAATGTAGTTTGAAAAACAGATCCTTGATTGTGGTGTAGAATATATTAGATGGACAGGCCAGCAGTTGTGATAGGGGACATACATATAGACGAATATATGTATAGACTTCTTCAGAATTTCAAAATGCAGAAAAGTAGTATGAAATAGTAAACCAAGAAAATCAAGACATAAGAAAGGAAAAAGAAATTTAGGTAAATCCAGTTTATTCCAACATTGTTCACTACACCTCTCCCTATGTTCCTGTCCTTACAAACTGTCCTTATTTTCATCCTGTCCATAGGCTGCTTCATACAGTGCCTTTTGTTATTTAAACTTCTCAAGTTCTCCTTTTGAGGACCTTTCCAACTCCACCTAGCCATAATTTTCTCAGTCTCCCCTTCCCTCTCAACCCATTCACTCTTTGCTCAAATATTGGTTTTGAAAGTCAGTCCTCATTTATTTTCTCTGTGTGATCAAACCATCTCAAAACACTTCTTCCATTCCAGTTATTCCCTTTTGAATACAATCCATATGCACTCATCAGTTATTCATCTTGACCCAATCCACCCACATTTTCTCTCTCATTCCTGCTTCATTTCAACTTTTGTGTCTCTCCTGTCATAGCCAACTCTCATTTCCATGTAACACAGTGGGCAGAACCACACTTCTGTACAGAGCCATGTTTCTTTCTTTTGAAAATGTTCATTCATTGCAATAGACGACTTGCTACAGACGATCTGTCTGCCAGCATTTGTGTATATACTGAAATTTCACAATCTGCCAAGGGCCACAAATTCATGCACTTATATTGTTTTTGTGATTTATGCATAATTTAAAATCATTCACTCCATTTTCCCTGTCAAACCCAAGTACCTGCATCTTTGATATGTTCGTTTTCAAATTCATTGTCCCTGTTGCATCATACAATCTAACAATTGGTTCTTAGCCAAGAGCACAGCATCATCTGCATACAAAAGAATACACATATTCACATCCCCAAACAACATACTTCAAACATTATCACACATGTTTTCCCAACATTCTGCACACGGCTGCAGCTTCCGAGCTGTCCTCAAAGGCAGGCCTATATAAAGTACATTGTGGAGCCCTTGGGATTCTCTGAGCTTGGTTGTTTTCTTGCAAACATTTCGTTACCAGGCAGGCAGAAAGCTAGCAGAGCGCATCCATGAAGACCAACTAGCA